CCTCATCTTTCCTCCCGTTTCTCAGTTCATTTTAATCCTCTTCCTCTTATTCCCCATTCTTTCTTTCTCTTCTCCTCTCTCCCCTTTCCAATCTCTTTCTCCGTTCCCATTCATTTCATCCTCGACTCTGCTCTCCTCCCCGTGGTGTTGGAGCCACGGGTACTACGCTGCTAGCCTCACACGCTACTGTGATGACGCATTGATCCATCGCGCTGCCAGATGTGGTCGCTTCACCTTCTGGCTGCCACTCTGTCAGTATCCACTCCGTCGTTATCTATGACCGTCTGTCGTGAGCCCATTTCGAGCAACATGTCCTGCCCAAGTGCTGCCACTCAGTGTTTCTCAACAGTTCAAGAGGCGCCATTAATTATGTGCGCGTTCTCTTTCTTTCGACATGAACATCACGTGACGATGATGGCAGCCTCGGCCGGTTGGTGCGCCCTGTTTTGTCCGGTTTTGTCTTGTTTCGCTTGATCATCTGTGCTGGTGAGAGAGGCCTGCTGTTCAGCACACCCGTGCTGGTGAGAGAGGCCTGCTGTTCAGCACACCCGTGCTGGTGAGAGAGGCCTGCTGTTCAGCGAGGGGACTGCTGTTCAGTACATCTGTGCTGGTGAGAGGGGCCTGCTGTTCAGCACACCCGTGCTGGTGAGAGAGGCCTGCTGTTCAGCACACCTGTGCTGGTGAGAGGGGCCTGCTGTTCAGCACACCGTGCTGGTGAGAGAGGCCTGCTGTTCAGCACACCTGTGCTGGTGAGAGAGGCCTGCTGTTCAGCAAACCCGTGCTGGTGAGAAGGGACTGCTGTTCAACACACTAGCGAAAGAGGCCTGCTGTTCAGCACACCTGTGCTGGTGAGAGGGGCCTGCTGTTCAGCACACCAGTGCTAGTGAGAGAGCCCTGCTGTTCAGCACACCCGTGCTGGTGAGAGAGGCCTGCTGTTCAGCACACCTGTGCTGGTGAGAAGGGCCTGCTGTTCAGCACACCTGTGCTGGTGAGAGGGGCCTGCTGTTCAGCACACCAGTGCTAGTGAGAGAGGCCTGCTGTTCAGCACACCTGTGCTGGTGAGAGGGGCCTGCTGTTCAGCACACCCGTGCTGGTGAGAGAGGCCTGCTGTTCAGCACACGCGTGCTGGTGAGAACAGGTCCCTGCAGGGTGGGCTGGTAGGACAAGTCTCTGCGCTGTCTATTGCTGATTTTACACCCAACAGCACGAGATTTCACTTCGTTAAAGTATTGAAAGGGGACGGACAGACGGACACATTAATCTATTGCAGGCTGGTACACTCAGTTTACAACTTCGTTCCTACCAGTAAAATGGTGCCGTTGATCGTAGCCTCAGCCGGTCGGTGCGCCATGTTTTGTCTTGTTTTGTCTGTTAATTCAGTGTTTTGCCAAGATTTTCGGAGTTCCCTAACAAGATACGAACTTTTAAACATCAGGGAAACAACTCCTGTGGATTTATTTCCCACTTTTCTGCTTCCAGCGGCAGAATTAGTGGGCATTCTGGTCAAAGCTGTGCTAGGCTTTGCTCAAGCAGCGAAACGCCGCCCAAGGGGTAAACGGTCGGGGGCTCTAGTATGGCTACGCAGACGCGGGATCCGAACAGTGCTTTCGAGCTTTTTCCTCTCCAACGTACGTTCACTGTGCAACAAAATGCACGAACTTCAGCTACTGATGGTGAAAAACAGAGACTTTCTTTCATCTTCTGTTTTGTGTTTCACGGAGACATGGCTGTGTGATTTGATTCCGGACACTGCGCTACAACTGGCAGGATTCCATCTTGTAAGATCGGATCGTGACATTGCACTCTCCGGCAAAATGAAAGGCGGTGGTATTTGTTTTTACATTAACAGTGGCTGGTGTGTAGATATCACAGTGACTCTGCAACATTGTTCTCCGCTCCTTGAATAATTTGTTATAAACTGTAAACCTTTCTACTCGCCTCGCGAGTTCGCATCGCTCATTTTGGTCGGAGTTCATTTGCCGCCGGGTCCTCAGGTTAAAGAGGCCCAACGCATGCTCGCCGACCAGATTCTGAGTGTGGAGTGAGCAAATCCAGATTCGCTGGTTATCGTACTTGGCGACTTTAACAAAGGTAATCTCAGCCACGAACTCCCCAGATACATACAATTCATTAAATGTCCCTACCAGAGAAGGGAACACTCTGGGTCACTGCTACACTACAGTCAGGAGAGCCTACCACGCCGTCCCCCGAGCAGCACTGGGACACTCTGACCATGCCATGGTCCACCTGATTCCTGCAAACAGGCAGAAACTAAAGCTCTGTAAACCTGCTGTGAAGATATCGAAACAGTGGACCAGTGAGGCTGTGGAGGATTGCGGGCGTGCTTGGACTGTACTGATGGGGATATGTTCACGACTGCTACCAAAAGTCTGGATGAACTCACAGAGGCTGTGACGTCGTACATCAGCTTCTGTGAGGACTGCTGTATTCCAACACGTACCAGGGTGAACTTCAACAACAACAAGCCCTGGTTCTCAGCAAAGCTCAGAAGGCTGAGGTTGGAGGAGGAAGCGTTTAGGAGTGGGGATAGAGACAGATTCAAGGAGTCGAAGAACAGGTTTAGCAAGGCGGTGAGAGAGGCTAAACGACTGTACTCAGAGAGACTAAAACACCAGTTCTCTACTAACGACGCTGCTTCTGTCTGGAGAGGGCTCAGGCAGATCACCAACTACAAGCCCAGAGCCCCCCACACCACTAACGACTCCCACCTGGCCAACGACCTGAACGAGTTCTACTGCAGATTTGAAAGACAATTGGACTGTCCTGAACTACCCCTTCCCACCCAAGAGGCCCCATCCCACACCCCTACTACAGAGACGACTCTCTCCTTTCAGGAGGGAGAAGTTAATAGACTTTTCAAGAGGCAGAACCCATGCCACCATCAGGCACTGCGCTGACCAGCTGTCTCCGGTGTTCACCAACATCTTTAACACCTCCCTGGAGACATGCCATGTACCAGCCTGTCTCAAGTCCTCCACCATTATCCCTGTGCCCAAAAAGCTAAGGCCAACAGAACTAAATGATTATAGAGTGGTCACCCTTACCTATGTGGTAATGAAGTCTTTTGAGCGCCTGGTCCTGGCACACCTCAAAGCCATCACAGAACTTCTTCTGGACCCCCTTCAGTTTTCCTACAGAGCTAAGAGGTCTGTGGACGACGCAGTTAACATGGCCCTACACTTCACCCTACAGCAACTGGACTCCCCAGCATCCTACGCCAGGATCCTGTTTGTGGACTTCAGCTCTGCCTTCAACACCATCATCCCTGCCCTGCTTCAGGACAAGCTCTTCCAGCTGAACGTGCCCGACTCCACCTGCAGGTGGATCACAGACTTCCTGTCTGACAGGGAGCAGTGCATTAAGCTGGGAACACAAGTATCTGACTCCAGGTCCATCAGCACCAGAACTCCTCAGGGCTACGTCCTTTCCCCACTGCTCTTCTCCCTGTACACCAAAAGCTGCACCTCCAATCATCTGTCCGTCAAACTCTTGAAGTGTGCAGACGACACCACCCTCATTGGGCTGATCTCTGGTGGGGATGAGCCTGACTATAGGTGGGAAGCTGACCATCTGGTGACCTGGTGTAGCCAGAGCAACTTAGAGCTAATGCTCTAAAGACAGTTGAGTTGCTGTCCGGGTTGTTTGCTCATCCATGTGCTCTCTCTGCGTAGGTTCCCATTGTCTTCAACCCTTCCCCCGCCCCCCACCTCTGCAGCTTATTTAAGTCTCTGTCCGTCATCCCTCCAGTTCTTTTTGTCTCTTGGTGTGGTGTTACTCTGGTTGTCCATCTGTGCTGCCCAATATATCTTTCCTTGGATGTTCTTCCCTATGTATGTATCTCTGCTACCTTGTACCCCGTATTTGTTCACTCTGTCTATGCTGGTTTGTTCAACTCAGAGGATGAACACGAAATTTAGCAGTCTTCTGAAATTCGTGGTTAACCAGGTCAGTGTCTAACTGTGTTGTTGGCCGACTGGTTTTGCATCACGTTATTTTTCTGAGGTTTGTTGAGTTCTCGTCTCTCATCTTCTTGTTGTATTTGCCTCCGTACAGTTTAACGTTATCTATGTGCTATGTACGTGATGTCCCCCTATGTGCTCCCTCACTATTTGTTTTACACCTGATGATGATCGCTTGTGTTGCATTCGAAACGTCGTGATTTATTATTATTTTAATATGATTTTCTACATACGTGACTTTACCGAAAAAAAACAATGAGTATGGTAATTTATGCAGTCACGAAAGCTTCAATTCTATATTACAGTTGAGATGGTTGTGGACTTTAGGAAGAATACAGCCCCACTCACCCACATCACCCTGTGCGACTCCCCAGACAAAACTGTGGAGTCCTTCCACTTCCTGGGCACTATTCTCTCCCGGGACCTCAAGTGGGAACTGAATATCAGCTCCCTCACCAAGAGAGCTCAACAGAAAATATACTTCCTATGGCAGCTGTAGAAATTCAACCTGCCAAAGACAATGATGGTGCACTTCTATACAGTAATCATTGAATCCATCCTTACCCCCTCCACAACCGTCTGGTACGCTGCTGCCACTGCCAAGGACAAGAGCAGACTGCAGCGTATCATCCACACTGCTGAGAAGGTGATTGCCTGCAATCTACCAATCCTCGAGGACCTGCACACCTCGAGGACAATGAGGCGAGCGAGGAAGATTGTGGCCGATTCCTCCCACCCTGGACACTCTCTGTTCCAGGTACTCCCCTCCGGCAGAAGGCTGCGGTCCATCAGGACCAAAACCTCACGCCACAAAAACAGTTTCTTCCCATCCGCTGCTGGCCTCTTCAACAAGGCCAAGGACTTACACTGACTTTAACATTTTATCTACAAAATGACACCTTGCCATATATTACACTATGTTACCCTATTTGTATTTTTTGTATTTTTAGATTGTAACTTATAGCTACTTTATATTAAGATTTAAGATTCCTATATGTTGAATGTATGCACCTTCCTGCCAAAGTAAATTCCTTGTCTGTGCGAACTTTCATGGTGAATAAACCCTTTCTGATTCTGACATCTTGACACGACCAAGTGGCCACCCAACCCCCTTGTGTCCCCTGCAGGCCTGAATTTGTTGCTGCTCACTAACAGCACTTGCCCCAACAGGCTGTTAAGGCTACACGGGGGGTCTTTGTCTTCGTCTTTTTAACGAATTTAGCTAATTATGCTGTCCAATTATAATTTTAAAAAAAGAATGATACTTCTACGGACACAACAGCAAAAACAATGACGGCGATAGAGCTTGTTTGGACATCACCTTTTCGAAGAATCGTTGTAAAAAGTAAAAACATAAAGACAACATTTGGAGCGCCCCCAAGATGCGAACTGTGATGGACGTCCGTCACAGCTTGGTGCTGTGAAGAGAGATGTCTGCTGCGGGGATGCCGTCTTTTTCCGCAAATCCATTCGCATTTTCCTTCTCCGTGCCCTCCTCCTCGTCCTGAAAAGCCACACATGGCCACACGCGTGCAACGCGACATCACCCAAACGTCCCAGGATCTATGAAAAAATAAGAATAGATTTTACCCTTTCTGGCAATAAAACAGGGAGTTTTGATGTAAAGCTTTCGTGACTGCAGGGATTCATATTCTTGGTTCTTTCGGTAAAGTCACATAGAAGGGAAACATTGTTTTATATTGTTTAATATTTTTATTATTTTATTGTTTCCCTTCTACGTGACTTTACCGAAAGAACCAAGAATATAAAACAGGGAGTGTTAAGATGTTCAAACACCGAACAGATGATACCTTTTTGCAAGGAATCAAGTCCTCATTAACCACACGTACTTGTGGTGAACATGCAAACAAACATGCTCTGGTAATTAATGTTGTCTTTGAAAAAGATTGGCCAACACCAGATACATTAATGCCCAGCCGTTTTGTGAATCCACTGCTGGATAAAATCCTCTCACACACGCCGTATTGGTCACGGGAGAAGTAGAGGGCAGCAATGGGTTTTGCTGCACTGCCCTCTGCTGCCCACGACACCTGCTACACACCCCCTGCTCGTCACGCGTAGTGGTCGCCCATCCAAACACGTGGCCATGCTCAACTCAGCTTAGCCTCCGTGAGGTCTGCCAAAATCGCACTTTTACAGTTTACTCTTCACAACAGCAACAACCACCGACGCGTCGCTGCAGGAAGACGGTCACCGCATGGTGCGCTTTCAGATGCGCATATGCGGCCGTCTGGAACGCTCTTCCCTCCGATATGAGGAAGACACTGGGAGCTATGCACTTTGAAATCTTCCAGATTGAAAACTTATTTCTTGAGAACGGCTTTGCTGTGTTTAGTTTGTTGTCCACCCACCTCTGATTGGCACGGTTGGCTCCACACATGGTGCGAAGGAAGCTCAACGCACACACACACACACATGTACACCGCGCGGAGATGTAGGAGAGGGGCAATGCTCACCGTGTACGTGAGGCTGTGGACACGCAGCAGGCGCAGCAGGGTTTGAACGACCGGGTGGATGAGACGCGAGTTGACGGGGCGCACCCTCCCACGACCTGGAATGCGTGTACACACACAGAGAAATATCCCCCGTATAAACTTAAACAGACGTCTTTGGGGGGCAAGTGCTGTTCGCGACTAGCACCTGTGAATGCTGGCACGACACGCATGGGGGTGGGGGATGAGCAACATCACGACCGGCCGCCTTTGTCTCCCCAGTGATGATGTCTTTACACACCGCACCAGAAGCTCAGTTGAGGCTGAGACGATCCAGGGTGAGGCCCAGGACCGGTTCAGACAATCGTCTCTGGTCTTAGTGGCCTTGAGTGGAGAATCGAACTCGGGTCCGTCGAGTTTGAAGTGTAGCGTGCTAATTGCTGCACTACCGCTCCCAATACGCCAGATACGTACACGCACATGCGTACACACGAAAGTACACACATACACGCGCGCGCACACGGGACTCGTACTTGAGATGATGCTGACGATGAATCCGGCAACGACCACTCCAATGCAGCCCACGGCGCTGTAGTAGAGGTAGGAGATGGAGTACCACTCCTCGGCGATGGTCGGCCTGGGGAACAAGACAAATACAAAGATCTCCCCGAAAGCCTTAACAGACTTGTTGGCGCAAGTGCTGTTCGCGAGCACCTACGAAGGCTGGCACGGTGCATGAGGGAGTTTGTGACGAAAAACTAGGCCCGGCCGCCTTTGTCTCCAGAGTGGTGATGTTTACACATCACACCGGGTACTCATTTTAGGCTGAGTCGACCTAGGGGTTGCCCAGAACCGGTTCAGATAATTGTCACTGGTGTTGGCAGTGAGCAGGAATCGAACACTCGGGTAGCCACTTTCATAGCAGAACACACAAGCCGCGACATTACCGCTCCCCACACAAAAAGACAAATATCCCCTGTATAGCCTTAACAGTGCTGTTAGCGAGCACCTATGAAGGCCGGCACGGCACACGAGGGGGTGGGTGACCAGCACCACGCCCGACCGCCTTTGTCTTCCCAGTGGCCATGTTTACATACTGCACTAGGGACTCATTTGAGGCTGAGTCGACCAATGGGAAGCCCAGGACCAGCTCAGATAATCGTCACTGGTGTTGGCCGTGAGCAGAAATAGAACTTGGGTCACCTGTTTTTTGTAACGCAGCGCGCTCACCGCTACGCCACCGCTCCCTTTCACACACACACGTGTGTGTCGACCTTGGGGAAGCCCAGCGCGAGGCTGACGCATGACATCTAGTGGAGGATCGCTTAGCTGAACAATTTAGTTCCGCGGTTCAATTTGCAAGTGCGAGTTCGCGTTTTAAGTCAATGTAAAAGACAAAGAAACTGGTTCGTAAGTGCGAGTGTTTGTAAGTCGGTGTTTGATTTATATCGCACCTTAGTCCAAGGCACTTTACAATCATTATTGAATTGCATATCAAAGTCCACAGACTGTCATTGATTCTTGAAGTGACTGAAAGGTTACGAATACTGGATAAATGAGCCACTGAGGACAGTTGGCCAATCCACTGCTATGAGATAGAGCGCCCTCAGAGAGGCACAGTCGCACGCGAGGTGAGACTGGTCAAACGAGGGCGATCATAGGCGAGCAAAGGCGAACGTGCGGGTGATCCATCACTCACCGCATGTTTGGAACGTCGGCCACCGTCGGGGTGAATCCCGTCGGGGTGAATATGGTTGTGGTGTAGTTGCTCATCACGTTGCATCCCGCCGTGGTCAGGGGTAGAGGTCGCGTCTTGATGGGCAGGGCCGGGTAGAGCTGGGCACCGATGCCCACCCAGAGGGACAGAAATAGCCCCACGAGTAGCCCAGCCAGCGCACCCTGCCAGGAGCGGAGTGGCACGTCATGGGTGCGGTGATTTGCAGCTGATGATGAGACCGTGGAGCTGGGCGGTTTTCGTGAGTGTCCTGGCCCAGGGAGCTCAGTGTCACAGCACTGAGCTGGATGCACGTGAACACTGATTCCCAACATTATTTGTTCTCATTCCCGAATTAATAGTTGCTGGCACAAGCAAAATTAGTTTCCCACTACCCAGTAGTGTAGCGTGGAGTTCCTGAGTCGTGGCCCGGGGAATGACATCGGGAGGGGGGGGGGTGGAATACCCTGTCCAAATTTCCCCTAAGTTTTTGGAGCCCCCACGTGCTAAACAATTATCGGGCGCGTGCACAGTGGAACGAGTTAATTTGCATTTGAATGGGGAGCGTGGTGGTGGGGGGTCGTGAGGACCGAAGTTTGAGAAACCCTGCCTGGTTATCCTACTAATGCATTACATCGGATGTGAGAATAAATGTTTTGCCATTGGTGCACGTGGTATGCGATGTTACGGTGCAGTTTGGTGTGGTGCAGTGTAGTGCGGTGTTGGTGCGGTGCAGTATACTGCGGTGTGGTCCGGTATAGTGTGGTGCATTGTGGTGACGGAGGAAAGTGTGGTGCAGTGTGTGCACTCACCAACTCGTTGGCCCACGGGAAATAAATTCCGAGAATGAAGAGTCCGAGCAAGGGCCCTCCCATCATGCCCAGGATGCTTAGCGCGGCCTGTACACACAAACACAGTCAAATATACATGCAGATGCGAACGCTGCTGTCGCGAACGTGATTGGTCACAGTCCAGTCACCGGTGACCCTGAGGAAGTGTCACAGAGCACGAGGGAGAGAATGCGCGTGGCAGCGACGTACGGGTGCGAGGCATTCACCTGCAGCACGTTCCCCAACAGCGACGCCACCAAGGACATCACGATGCAGACCCCTCCGAAGAACACACCTGGCACACGCACGGAGCACGCAGAGTCACGCTGCTCGGCCGGTAACTTCTCATCGTTGTCGTTCCCTTCATTGCACCTTGTCATCGTAAACTAAAAACAAGTGTTACTCTCCGCGTCATCTCCTGGCCTTTCCGGCCTCGGTCAAATTAAGGCCATCTACGATGAACTACGCCTGTGAAGATATTTCCTACGAACAGATCGTCAGACAAACGCGCCCGGTCTTAACCAGATCTCAGAAGCTATAGGTAGGACACGTTGCTGTTGGATTGCTGCATACCGTGCAGAAGACAGGTGTTGGAGCAGTCTTCTTCACACATTTTCAGAGGGGGCCACTTTAGCCGATAAGACATCATCAGCTTGAGGGCCGCCACATGTTTGAAACCATAGGGGGTTTGACAGCACCACGATGGGGTGCGTCAGGGGTCGCACTCAGGCACATCAGGGAACGCCAGTGGCTCGCGGGCCTTGCAATGAAGAACACTGAGTTAGAGGCGGCTGTGGGGGTGCATTGTGGGCAGCAGAGGGCAGTGCATCAAGCTCTATCATTGTGTACACATCCCAAAGAATACAACGACAGGAGATCGCCAACTCATAAAGAATCCTAACGTTGCAAGAACGTCACGGAGAGAACCGAGCCGTGATACTGCCATGTGCTCGTTCGCCCCCAACACTGCATGGGCGATGACAGCACTTGTCAGCAAATCTCACCATCGAAATCCATCGTAGAATTATTTTTTTTACGAATCTGTAACCAATTGTTGTTGTTTATGCACGTGTTGTTATGTGTGCACGTGTTTCGATTTAAAGCTTTCGTGACTGCAAGGATTCATCTGCTTTGGTTCGTTCGGTAAAGTCACGTAGAATGAGAATAAAATAATAAATTGATTGTTATTTTATTTTCTCAATTTATTATTTTATTCTCATTCTACGTGACTTTACCGAAAGAACCAAAGAAGATGTGCACGTGTTCTTGTTGTGCATACTCAGGCCCTTGGAGGTCCACGAGAGCTTCCTCTCGGAGGCTCCGCGCAGGAAGGGCAGCCGAGGCCTCAGAATGTCCTCCAGCGTGACGGTGGCCAGGGCGTTGATGCTGGACGACACCGTGCTGGGGTGGGGGCAAGGGGAGGGGAGGGGGGCGGGAGGGAGGGAGGGAGGGGGGAGTTTGGGCACAGCAGCGGATTGACAAAATCCCCTGCACACACACGTGTGTGTGATACGTGTGTGTGATACGCGTGTGTGATACGCGTGTGTGATACGCGTGTGTGATACGCGTGTGTGATACGCGTGTGTGATACGCGTGTGTGATACGTGTGTGTGATACGTGTGTGTGATACGCGTGTGTGATACGCGTGCGTGATACGCGTGTGTGATACGCGTGTGTGATACGCGTGCGTGATACGCGTGTGTGATACGCGTGTGTGATACGCGTGCGTGATACGCGTGCGTGATACGTGCACGTGTACAAATGGAGTGTCGCGTGCCGTGCGCGTGTCTCCCACCTGAGCGTCCCGCTGTAAGCAGCAGCCACGAAGAGACCGGGCAGCCCGGGGTATCCCCGGAACAAACTGAGCACCAGGTAGGGAAGCACCTGGGGGAGGGGGGTCACCAACACACACGCGCGTGCAAAGACAAAGATCACCCGTGTAGCCTTAACAGACGGTTCGGGCAAGTGTTGTTAGCGAGCACCTATGGAGACCGTCACGGCACACGAGGAGGATTGGTGGCCAGCACCACGTCCGGCCACCTTTGTCTCCCCAGTGGCGATGTTTACACATCGCACCAGGTACTCATTTGAAACTGAATTCGCCACTGTTATTGGTCGTTCGTGGAAATCAAACCTGAATCGCCGGGTTTGAACCATTGCACCACCGCTCCCCAAACGCACACACTCACGAATATAATAAGTTGGCGGTCTCAACTCGTAACACGCTACTGCAGAGCAGTGTTCGCTCGCTCTCGAAGAGAGAGAGAGTGAACGACTCACTGAGAATGACTCAGGGAGATAAGAACGAATCATTGAGATAAAGAACGATTCGCTGAGAACGACTCAGGGAGATAAAGAACGACTCAGTGAGAACGACTCAGTGACAAAAAGAACGACTCGGTGAGAACGACTCAGTGAGATAAAGAACGACTCGGTGAGAACGACTCAGTGAGATAAATAACGACTCGGTGAGAACGACTCAGGGAGATAAAGAACGACTCAGTGAGATAAAGAACGACTCGGTGAGAACGACTCAGTGAGATAAAGAACGACTCGGTGAGAATGACTCAGGGAGATAAAGAACGACTCGGTGAGAACGACTCAGGGAGATAAAGAACGACTCAGTGAGATAAAGAACGACTCGGTGAGAGCGACTCACTGAGATAAAGGACGACTCGGTGAGAACGACTCAGGGAGATAAAGAACGACTCGGTGAGAACGACTCAGGGAGATAAAGAACGACTCAGTGAGATAAAGAACGACTCAGTGAGAACGACTCAGTGAGATAAAGAACGACTCAGGGAGATAAAGAACGACTCAGGGAGATAAAGAACGACTCAGTGAGAACGACTCACTGAGATAAAGAAAGACTCAGGGAGATAAAGAACGACTCAGTGAGGACGACTCAGGGAGATAAAGAACGACTCAGTGAGAACGACTCACTGAGATAAAGAACGACTCAGGGAGATAAAGAACGACTCAGTGAGAACGACTCAAGGAGATAAAGAACGACTCAGATGCGCCAGGAGGAGGAAGCACAGACCAGCAAGAAGGCGGCAGTAGCAGTAGCCAAATGGTGACCCGGCACGGTGTATCAAGCTCTGCTGTCCTCTACATATTAAGGTACTCTCAGCCAATGCACGAGGGTTTACATGTGGGAGAAAAAGAAATCTACAAATTTTAGAGCCAAAGTTATGGTCAGGATTTATTGCCATGCTGGGGGTAGGGTTATTGTCACTCCTGGTTGTGAAAAAGTTACAAGCTGACCACAGCATCGACGTTGCTGAATCCTCTGCCCAGTGTCGTACCTGATCAGGGGCGCTGATCTCTCCATTGGTGAAGGGATCGCAGTCCTTGTAGAAGGTGTGGATGAGGAGGCCGCACAGAACCACGCACCACAGGATCAACACCAGCCCCACCAGGTTTAAATAGAGAGCCCTGCAAACAAACAAAGATCCCCCCGGGTAGTCTCAACAGACTTTTCAGGCAAGTGCTGTTCGCAAGCACCTATGAAGGCCGGCAAGGTAACCGAATGGGTGGTTTGGTTGGTGGTCAGCACCATGCACGGTCGCCTTTGTCTCCGCGTGGCGATACTTGCCCACCGCACAAGGTACCCTATTTGAGGGCCATGACCATTTCAGACATCAATCGCGACTGATGTTATCTGTGAGCAATAAGCAAATCCAGATTGCCTGGTTTGTAGTCCAGCACGCAAACCACTGAAGCGCCGCTCCATAGAGCGCCACACACACCCGTATTAGTGAAGGTGTATCAAGGACAAGCATGCACGCATTTGTAATCCATATCTACACATCGAAATCATCTCAAGTCTGTCGTCAATCACGTGACTTCTGTGTGGCCACCCCCCACTCTGAATCCCCTACTCCCCGCCCCCAGGGAGAACAGACGTTGCTCCGTGAAGCAGCAGTAGCGTCGGGACCCTTCTACAGCAGCAGTGACTGGTCGCTGTTGATTGTTGTTGTAACTTTCCGACCAGCCCCTACTGGACATCTGTGAAAAATAACTTCATAGCTCATTCGATTCCCCCATTCACACCCCCCCCGATCCATTCACACACTGCCCGCCATAAACACAATGTGGCACCCACCCCGTGAACACCCCCCCCCCTCCCTACGGATGGGGGTGATGTCCCTCGCTACGAGCTCTGGCGGCAGCCTCACTCACAGCTTGGCCTGCAGCATGGAGCGGCAGGCGATGTAGCGCTGCACCTGCGACTGGTTGACGCCGTACACGGCGAGCCACGTGAACCACCCGCCCGCCAAGATCGTCCAGAACGTGTGGCGGCGCAGCGGGTCCGGGTCGAAACTGGAGAGGTGGCCCGGGGGGGTGGGTAGGGGTGGGTGAGAAAGGGGGTGGGTGGGGGACGGGGGGGGGGGTCAATGGACAGGGGATGGGAACCAGAGCGAGTGAAGTGAGATCAGTGAAGATGTGAAGTTGCAATCTATGGGCCATGTATTTGTGTCTGTGTGTGTGCATGTGCCTCCCGTAAATCACGTGACACCTGTGTGGCCACTCCCACTCGGAATCCCTTCCCTCTCCCCATCCTCAGATCTCGAGGTGGGGAGATGTTATCTCCCTCGCCATGTTATGCAGGAGCTCGTGGGTTCGATGCCAGACCCTGACGATGTCTCGTGGATATTTGGAGTTCGCGTGTTCTCTTTCTCCTCATGGTGGTAGCGTGGATTGTTCTGAGTTCCTCCGGTTTTGCCCTCCACGTTTAGAAACAACGCGCGCTTCGGTTATTTGACTGCGACTATAAATCCCCACGTGTGATGTTGATCATTAAAGGCACTTCGATGAGCAATTCGTTATCTGTGGCCAAGTCGCCTCTGTAAAATAAAAAAATAGCTTAATATATTTTTTTGGAAAACACCACTCAGCAGAGGTACGCTCTAGCCAAAGAGGATGGGTACACAAATAATCTTTATCCGAGGTAGGGGTTTAACCCGTGAGGTGTTCCACGAAGCAGAGAACCGATCCTAACACTTCCTGTAAACGGTGAGAATCTCAGCACACGGAAGATCGCGTGCATGAATCATTACCCCTGTGTGCGCGATGCGTGGTGGGAGCGGTCACGTAGTGATGAGAATACTGTGCTACGAACCCAGCGACGCGGTTCTAGTCCTGCACACGGCCAACACCAGTAACGAGTATCTGAACCTGTCCTGGGCCTCCCCTAGGTCCACTCACCATCAAATAAGTACCTGGAGCAGTGGTGGGTAAACATCGCCACTCGGGATACAAACGCGGCCGGGCATGGTGCTGGCCACCCACTTCCTCACGTGCCATGCTGGCCTTAATAATAGGTGCTTTTGTCCAAACAGTCTGTAAAAGTCGATACGGGGGATCTTTTTCTGTGTGTGTGTGTGTACGCACGCCAGCTCTTACTCCCAGAAGTTGAGTCGGCTCCCGTTGGCCGCCTGCTCCCACACGACGTTGATCCCTCCGGCCAGGTTTGTGCCCTGCACGATGACGGCTATGAAGCCAGCGACCATCACCCCGCACTGGAACACGTCCGTCCACACTACCGCCTTGAGGCCGCCCTGCGGAGCGACGCGCACACAGCACAGCAGACGGTGCCCTGGGCTCCTCCTTTCTTCCTCTCGCGCGGTGCTCTTCATTGCGGAGCCACTGGTGGCCTGTAGTGGCCTTCAGTGCGGCCCCCGACACAGGATTGCATGATTTTGTCTGCCAGGCGGTGTGGCGGCCCTCAATCTGACGTCTTATTGGCGAAAGTGGCCCCCCTCTTAACATAAGTGAAGAACACTGCTCTAGCACATGGCACATTTGTGTAAATTATATACGTCCAGGTTTACGTTTTTTCGAGCCATGTACACTGAACTAAATGAGCCATAGTACTCTTTGTCACAGATGTACAGTACAAGCGTGCGTGTGTGATCTCGCCAAGGATGTGGGGAGCGCACTGCGCTACAATTCTCGCTTACGCTTAATATCAGTGGCGGAATATCTAAATTGGTCATGAGCCTCCCCTATGTCGACTCAGCCTTAAAGTGAGAGTACAGTATCCGATGCAGGTGTGTAAACATCATAACTGGGGAGACAAAGGCGGCCGGCCGGGCGTGGTGTTGGCCCCCTACTTCCCTTGTGTGCCGCGCCGGCCTTCATAGCTGCTGCGCGCTAGCCGCACTTGCCCCCACAGTCTGTTGGAGGCTATCGAGGGGGTCTTGGTATTTATCGACTCACCAGGGTGCAGTAGAGAGTGCACACAGCTCCCGTCGCCACCACCGCCCCCCACAGGTTGAAGCCGGTTACTGCGCGCGACAAGAGGCGCGCGTTAGCGCGTTCGTCCGCACGACTCAACGCGTCCGCAAATACCGACACGATGCATGTGGCCTTAATAGAACAAAGCACCCCCCACTATATATTAGCCCACGCTTCTGGCAATTGTCCTTCTTCATAGCACGTACATAGCGAGGCCAGGAGAGAGGCAGAGTGGCGAGTAAAGGTCAGTTTACATCATGGATTGACAATTAGAATTGTAAAAAAATTCTGCTGACCGGTTTGTTTTTTTACAAATAGGCCAATAAACAATGACACCAATAGTGGCTTATAGTGAGTGACAGGCCCGTAATAAGGCGCCCGCACCTGTGTGTGCACACGCACAGGTGTAAATGTCGGTCCAGGAGTCCAGACCAGATATGGCATGTCAGTACCACACGAGGTGGTGTAACATGGAAGGCTCCAATTGCCCGATGTGGACAATGCTTGTGAATTACGAAACAAAAATAATTCAAATGAGTGGAGTTATGAAGTAATCAACTCGTTTTGGCCGTACAAGTTACGACGCAATATTTGTTGCGTTCAGTGGCACCTATTTCTGCCCTGGCCTATGGACTAAAGCACACGTATGTCACATTGTCAGTCCACTGCGGGATTAGGGGGGGTTTAATCATACTTCACCATGCTGGTCAACACGAGCGGGGCGCATAGACGTACTATAATACAATACAACAATGGATGTTGCTGCACTAAGTTCGTTGCCCTTCTCAAGCACCTCCGATTAGCACGGTTGGCTACGAAAGAAGTTCATCATACAAAGTTCAAGTTCAACATACATACTTGCCCTCTGGTGACAACGTAGGCTCCCCGCAGCAGCACACAACACCTGCTATGCACGGTGGTGGTCACCCATCCACACACTATACAGGCTCAAACCTGCTTAGCCTCCGATATAATGCGACATTGGACGCATTTCGGCTGATTCGCACAGGCGTGCGTCAGAGAGCGCGCCTGATTAATTTTTGGATATTATACACGACTCGCGAGATTCACGAGCATGCCATGGGGCTCACTCCGCCTCCTCCAGCCACTAGAAGACGTTATATTAATCACAATGCTAATATAAAATGTCTTATCGAGTTATTGGTAACGCGCCAGGTGAGACCTACCCCGGTCGCTTTGGTTGCCACCTGGTTTACACCAAACAACTCTTCAGACTGGTATTTGTTGCGTTACCTTGGTTTAATGCGAGAGCCGGTGCGTAAATCACAATGCCCGTGTAGAGGATCTGTGGTAACACACACACACACAACACGTGCTGAGTGACGTGCCACGTGAGAGCACATTCAAGCAAGTGGAATGAAACGACAGACATTTAATTTCAGCTGGAAGGACCCGAGGTGTCCACACCAAGATTTTTGTCAGCATTGCCAGAAAATTTCAGAACAAAATAACAACAAAGTCGATTCTTTAATCAAATTGCTACGAAAAAACGTGCCAATTCAATTAGTTGGCATTGGCAGTCCTATGACGAAACTTCAGGCCTGTGACGCCACTCTACTTCAGCATATGGTGACCTGGCGTGCTAGGCACGGGCCGTGGGGTGTAACTCGGGATTAAGTGAGGTCCCCTATACGGGTTCCCTCCTCTTCGGCGCCCGGTGCCCCTCCAGGCCCGGAGGAAGGGCGAGTCAAGTGCGTTCTAACAGCACCGCCTGCACACTTACTCGATAGCCACACCGCTGTCCAAACATAAACACGACATCAATTATGTTGATGGCGCTTGCCACAACAATCTTTACACTCAGGGTGAACTCAAGCAAATGCATCGGCAATGTTTACCAGCACTGACCAATCCACTCCGAGCACATTGCCGAGTTGGATGTGTCCATACCCATTGTGTCGTTATCTTATTTGTAGGGGAGTGCGATGGTTATCTGTCATTCTGGAAGGGCTTTCTGCAGGGTAGAGAGTACGAGGGTCACTCTCGACTCGATGAAGTGCGGCGATTTTGTTTGTACAGTGAGGGAAAACAGTATTTGATCCCCTGCTGATTTTGTACGTTTGCCCACTGACAAAGAAATGATCAGTCTATAATTTTAACGGTAGGTTTATTTGAACAGTGAGAGACAAAATAACAACAACAAAATCCGGAAAAACGCATGTCAAAAATGTTATAAATTCATTTGCATTTTAATGAGGGAAATAAGTATTTGACCCCTCTGCAAAACATGACTTAGTACTTGGTGGCAAAACCCTTGTTGGCAATCACAGAGGTCAGACGTTTCTTGTAGTTGACCACCAGGTTTGCACACATCTCAGGAGGGATTTTGTCCCACTCCTCTTTGCAGATCTTCTCAAAGTCATTAAGGTTTCGTGGCTGACTTTTGGCAACTCGAACCTTCAGCTCCCTCCACAGATTTTCTATGGGATTAAGGTCTGGAGACTGGCTAGGCCACTCCAGGACCTTAATGTGCTTCTTCTTGAGCCACTCCTTTGTTGCCTTGGCCGTGTGTTTTGGGTCATTGTCATGCTGGAATACCCATCCACGACCCATTTTCAATGCCCTGGCTGAGGGAAGGAGGTTCTCACCCAAGATTTGACGGAACATGGCCCCGTCCATCGTCTCTTTGATGCGGTGAAGTTGTCCTGTCCCCTTGGCAGAAAAACACCCCAAAGCATAATGTTTCCACCTCCATGTTTGACGGTGGGGATGGTGTTCTTGGGGTCATAGGCAGCATTCCTCCTCCTCCAAACACGGCGAGTTGAGTTAATGCCAAAGAGCTCCATTGTGGTCTCATCTGACCACAACACTTTCACCCAGTTGTCCTCTGAATCATTCAGATGTTCATTGGCAAACTTCAGATGGGCATGTATAGTGCTTTCTTGAGCAGGGGGACCTTGCGGGCGCTGCAGGATTTCAGTCCTTCACGGCGTAGTGTGTTTCTAATTGTTTTCTTTGTGTAGTTCTGGGCTGATTCCTCACCGTTCTCATGATCATTGCAACTCCACGAGGTGAGATCTTGCATGGAGCCCCAAGCCGAGGGAGATTGACAGTTCTTTTGTGTTTCTTCCATTTCCGAATAATCGCACCAACTGTTGTCACCTTCTCACCAAGCTGCTTGGCAATGGTCTTGTAGAGCTCTTTGGTCTTGGTCATGGTGGAGAGTTTGGAATCTGATTTATTGATTGCTTCAGTGGACAGGTGTCTTTTATACAGGTAACAAGCTGAGATTAGGAGCACTCCCTTTAAGAGTGTGCTCCTAATCTTTAAGAGTGTGCTCCTAATCTCAGCTCGTTACCTGTATAAAAGACACCTGGGAGCCAGAAATCTTTCTGATTGAGAGGGGGCCAAATACTTATTTCCCTCATTAAAATGAAAATCAATTTATAACATTTTTGACATGCGTTTTTTCTGGATTTTTGTTGTTGTTATTCTGTCTCTCACTGTTCAAATAAACCTACCATTAAAATTATAGACTGATCATTTCTTTGTCAGTGGGCAAACGTACAAAATCAGCAGGGGATCAAATACTTTTTTTCCCTCACTGTAGAAGGCGAAAAAGCGCACAGTCATGCCGTTTTACTTGTAGAGCCCTCTGTAAATCTACTGCTGGACGAAGGCCTACACATACCCTGGCGGCCGTCGTGGGGGTGTTGGTTAACCATACTTCACCACACTGGTCAGTGCGAGGTTTTGTGAAGGGCCTTGGGTGAAAAACCGGTTCGAATAAAACTCGCCACTGCTTGTTTTACCACGTCGGGCTCAGAGCGTCGTGCGCTTATTATTGCGCCATCACTCCTACACCCCCCCCCCCCCCCCCCCCATGTTTACAGTTCTCTTAATCAGTTAGCTATTAAATCCAGACCTGTCGCGCACACTTTTAATCAACGCATCCAGCTTAACCTTGACCCCTACATCAACGAAGTTGTACTTCACTCAGTGATTTCCAGGGCGTTATCATCACAGCAGGGGGAAGGTTATCATTCCGCATTGTCAGAAATAACTCAACGTCTTCAAATGCAAATGTTTACACACGAATAGAGTAACTGCCCACAGTCCAATGCGGAATTTCTTCTCTCGCTATCTGGTGCCCTGTACACTGTGCGTGTGTTACACGAGTTGTTTGACAACTGCTGGCGGTAAACCATGTGCTATTGCTGTTGTTACTTGTTAAGTTAGCACATTCCCTCCACTCTGCAATGATAGCCTGGCGTTTTCGCCACTGCAGCCAGTCTTGGGCTGTAGTCCTGGTAACAGAAGAGCTACTTAGTTGAACGGGACCTTCTTACCAGCTGAGTCCGACTCTTGAGTCCATCGATATCTACGTAACTCTGTGGATATCCATGTAACTTTTTGGATATCTGTATCACTGTGAATCTCTGTGTTACTCTGTGGATCTCTGTGTCACTCTGGGAATCGCTGTGAAACATGATGGATCTCTATGTAACGCTACCTGATCACGATGCAACTCTATGTATCTCGAGGTCACTCTGTAAATCTCTATGTGACGCTATTGATCTTGATGTAACTCTCTGAGTCTCTCTGTAACTCTATACATCTCTATATGACTCTGATGTCCTGTCCACTGGGCTGTGCTCATCGTTCTTGCAACAGAGCTGCTTGACTCAACTGTGGAATTTGCTACGAATCTATCAGCTTATTTAAACTTAAACCGCATTGCCCATGTTCTAAATGTATTCACGCAACGCAATGTAATGGACGCGTCGACGTTTACCCCGCAATTATTAAACTAACCTCGACCAAAACCCCTGATGAATTGAAAAAAAAAATATGACAAAACAAAATTGATGAACGTTTCAAAGATTGCATCCGTAATCCTACATTCCTTTCAAAAGATAAAGCATTCGTGCGTCATGCGTTGATGTTAATGGAAGTCAGTGTGAACAATTGTCAATTTATAAAAAAAATATATCTCTGTGATTTATTAAAATAAATATAATGACCAAATGTGGGCCACCCTGTGTATTTTTCTGACCTCTGTGTCCGCGTGCACGAGTTCGCACTGCGCTCCCATCGGCCAGTGTCTTGAAGGCAACAGCAGCAGCAGACACGTTGAGTGGGAGTGGTAGCGCAGTTGTTACAGCGCTATACGCTACAAAACCCGGCCACCTGAGTTCGATTCCTGGCTACGGATGTAACATTCATTGGCGAGTGACGAGTTCTCTCAGTGGGCCATTGCTCCAACCTCCTCCCCCATCCCGTCCTTCACCAATCAACAATGACCAGCGTAGTGAAGTATGGTCAAATAACTCCCTCCCCCCCCAAATGCCCAACACACCATAAGGAGGGTCTTAATCCAGCAGTGGATTGACTGGCAAAGATCCCGTAAATCACAATAGCCCCGGTTACATAACATGCGGAAGTAACGCGTAATAAAACCCATATATGCCTTCGCTCGTAACCCTAACGGCGTCGAGATTCTCTGAGAGCAAGCGGCGTGAGCTTTGAAGAGTCACTTCCAGGAGCGGTGGGCTGGGGGGCTGGTCCCAATGAGGCTTGCGTGCGAACTCAGCGATTACGGGACGCGTTGTATTGGGTACATTGTATTGGGTACATTGTATTGGGTACAATATCGGGTACATTGTATTGGGTGCATTGTATTGCGTACTATTGTATTGGTTACATTGTATTGGGTACATTGTATTGGGTACAATGTATTGGGTACATTGTATTGGGTGCATTGTATTGCGTACTATTGTATTGGTTACATTGTATTGGGTACATTGTATTGGGTACATTGTATAGGTTACATTGTATTGGGTGCATTGTATTGCGTACTATTGTATTGATTACATTGTATAGGTTACATTGTATTGGTTACATTGTATTGGGTACATTGTATTGGGTACATTGTATAGGTTACATTGTATTGGGTGCATTGTATTGGGTACATTGTATTGGGTACATTGTATAGGTTACATTGTATTGGTTACATTGTATTGGGTACATTGTATTGGGTACATTGTATAGGTTACAGTGTATTGGGTACATTGTATTGGGTACATTGTATTGGGTACATTGTATTGGATGAGTGCCGTTATTAGCGAGCACCGACAAAGGCACGGTCATGGCACGTGAGCGTGTGTCGGTGGCGGTGTTGTTGGGGAGCGGTGGCGCAAGGGTTAGCGCACTGCGCTACAAACTCAGCCACCCGAGTTCAATTCCCACTCACGACCAATAACAGTGGCGAATATTTGAACCAGTCCTGGGCCTTCGCTTAGATCGACTCAGCCTCACATGAGTACCTGGTACGGTGTGTGAACATCGCCACGAGGTAGACAAAGGCGGCCGGGCATGCTGTTGGCCACCCAGCCCCGTGTCTCGTGTCGACCTTCATAGCACAGCACTTGCCCCAAAAGTGTGTTAAGGCTTTTAAAATATTTATTAATAGTTACATATAAGTAGACAATCGTGGGTTAATATTCATAATTTCATTGTTCATAACGTTGTGCATGCTAGTTGCATCCCACAACGCTGTGTGTTGGGTTGAGTGGGGATGCAGGCTGAGAGGCGAGGAGGGGGGAGAGGCGAGAAGGAGTCTGGGGAGGGCGTGGGGGGTGATTGACAGCGGGGGTCTCACCGTCTGCACGATGTACATCGCGGTGGCGCAGAGACGAACTGACTGACCGAACCGCATCTCCAAGTACTGCGATCGGGGACGAGAGGCAAGCACAGACACAGACACACACGTGCTTCGTCATTCCCAGCAACATCGCCGTGAGACTAAAGAGAATCTCGAAGTGTACCCAAGCTATACTCAAACGAGCGCGAGCAATCGCTCGTCTCCACTGGCGCTCCTGAGTCAACGGTAGAATGTCCACATTACCATGGCGAGGACCAGGATATCCGTTGTGTACGAAAGATTGTCACTGACGGCTCAGCATGCCATATGACTGATACACTTGGCAATAATAATCGATATGTCTGAATTACCTCAAGCCTCCCGTGAATCACGTGACTTATATGTGACCCCCCCCCCCCTACTCTAAACCCCTCCCCTCTCACCAGCGCCCACTCTGAGAACAGACGCCGTTCCGTGCTACAGCAGCAGCGTTGAGGCCCTGACGCAGCCTACTCCTGCCTCTCCTCCTCCTCCTCCCTCCTCATCTCTTTCTCGACGCTTTGCTCCAACGTCTCAGCTCGTATTCAATCACCCTCCCCATTCTTCATCTTCTTCTACCTTCCCCTTTCACCTTCTCCCCTTCATTACCCCCTTGACTGTGCTCCCTGCCGAATCCCTCGCGCAGAGCGAATTGTCAACTCACTGCTGCACGGGGAGGGGCCTCTTGGGGCCATTGTCGGTCACTGGGATTGTTCGACCATACTTCACCACGCTGGGTTACGTAAAGGACCGGGAACGCGGGCCCAGGGCCGGTTCAGAGAATTCCCGCTGGTGTCATCCATGGCTGCTCGGGGTCACACCAGCAGCAGCAGCAGGGCTATAGCCACTTGCACCACCGGGTAACAATTTGTGATCGCAGGCGATAGTGCGCAAGCCCCCAGCAGTGGCGCTCATTCAGACTGAGGCGACAGAGAAACGGAGAGACGCGACCACGTGTTGCTCGTGTGTGGAAGGCCCGGTGTGAAATACGCGTCGGGCATAGGCTGTTTGTTGTGTTACCGCACCACGATGGTGAGTACCGCGTGGACGTTGGGTGGGCGGTGGGGAGAGGCGTGGGGGGGGGCACGAGTGGATTTGAGAAACGTGCCCATTGATTGAACTACCAGCCATTGGAAGACGCGTTACGCTGTGTCTATGACGAGAGATGTCCATACGTGCGGCATACGTACCTATTAGCGTTTTTTTTTATTTTAACTATTTAATGAAGTTAGTCGTATTGGCTATTTTATATAGGGAGGAGAGCGGTGGCAATGTAGTTGACGCACCGCGAGTGAATGCCAGGACCGGTCTTATGTGCACCCTTTACCGCACCGACCACCAGCATGGTGAAGTATGGTCATTCAATCCCCCCCCCCCCCCCGACACGTGGTCGACACGGCGTGGTGAAGGCCGTCATCCAGACCACAGTCAACATACCTTGCAGCCCCACCATTATAGACACCGGCACGGCAAAGCACTAACCAGGCGTGAGACCTGCTTCGCCTCCTGATATCGGCAGCTTTCAGGATCATTTGTTCGCAGGCAATGATGACGGTGAAGAATAGCTCTGTAATGATGATGCTGGCGATCACGACAGTGATGATGTTGTTGTTGTTGATGATGATGATGTTGCTGTTGGTGATGATGTTGATGATAATGTTGATGATGACGTACCTCGTATGTGCTGGTGACCCCGAGGCGGTAGAAGACCGGCAGGAATCCCTCGGCGGTGGCGAGCACCACCAGGAGGTAGGTGAACGAGAAGCAGGAGAATATCGCCCCGAAGCGGTAGATCTCGGCCGGGGTGCCCAGCACCGTGACCCCTGCGCGCCGCGCGATCACACACGGACACCCAACGCGAGTCGAGCACCGTAGGCACCACGGTGGCGAGGAGACGTTAACTCCCTCGCCTGGTATACAGGAGGTCGTGGGTTCCACCCCGACGCTCACGCTTGTGCATTTGCAGTTTGCATGTTCTCCACGTAGTCACGTGGATTGTTCTCTGTGTCCTCCGGTTTTCCCTCCACAATTAAAAACGTGCGTTTAGAGTATTTGGCTGCTAGACATTCCCACGTGAGAAGCCCACTTCGTTGAGGCTGCTAGACATTCCCACGTGAGAAGCCCACTTCGTTGAGTAATAAATTGCGGCGAGGTCGCTTCTGAGAAAAGGCTCAGTGGGCTTTACCTGGTAAAATAAAACATAAATATTGACTTAAAGTTTTCGTGACTGGAGAAATTCATATTCTTTGGATCTTTCGGTAAAGTCACGTAGATAGGTACAAATTAATAAAAACAATGAATATAATAATAAAAACGACGACGTTTCGATCACAACACAAGCGATCGTCATCAGGAGGAAATAGGGGGAAAGCACAGACCATCAGAATGTTTATTAAGACTGGAGGAGAAATCCGATGAGCTATTAAGGGACCCGTTACAACGATGAGAGTGTACAATAGGTAGCCAACCGTGCTACTCGCGAGCGCCTATCATGTCCTGAAGGGCGCATGAAGGGGTGGGTGGCAAGTACCACCGGACGTCTTTGTCTCACGAAGGGCCATAGAATTTATTTTGACAAATGTTTAAATTGACTTCAATGAACATCGATGCATGCATTCTCTTTGGAAATCACTGTCGGACTTTTCTGACGATGATAGCTGCCTTCTTTCGCACACATAAATAAACGAATATATATATTTTAACTAATTTATCTCGTTCGTCTTTCGTAAAAAATAGATAATTTTAATTCACTTTTAGGCCACCCTGTACGTACATATACTTAAGTTTAAGACCGCGGCGTTATTGACCAATGTGTTAAGTTTTGTTTGTTGTGTTATTTGTGCATCACTGCCCAACGCAGCAGCAGATAATTTGTGTTCAAATTACGACTTTGCAAAAAGTGGCGTAAAAAAAGACGCAAAGCGCACGATTCTATGCAATTTGTAAACGCCTCTAGTAAATAAGCTACCCTAATGCAATCATTCATTTACAGCCCTTTGTTAATCCACTGCTGAATGACGGCTGGCTCCCACAGCGCGGGATCTCTGGCTCAAACTCGCCGCGCTGATGAGTCTAGGTTCGGGTGAAGACTCGGGAGGTGTGCGGAAGAGGGATTGGTTCAGATACCTCTCGTCGCTGTTGATCGCCGTGGACGGGAATCGAACTCATTATGACCATCGTAACACGCTGACCCACTGCGCCCTCTTTTGTAAATCTGTCAGGGGCCGGCAGCCTCGAACTCCGAAGCCGCACGCGGTGGCTCTTCAAGGACTGCGTCGTGGTGACGCGATCTTTATGGAGGACCACCGCCGTCTCTCGCATTCACCACCACCGTGCATTGCGGCTCTGAAGATATTCAGTTCGTTTGGGTTGGCGAATTCTAAATAAACGGCTCGTGTTGTGATGTCGGTTGCCGACCCCTGGTCGAAGTGCTTTGGAAAGATTTAGGAGTAGGTTCATCGAGTCGGAGAAGACGGATCGGGGCTGGTATGACAGGCGGGACGGTGAGGAGTGGGGTGGGGGTGGAGGGGGTGGGTGGAGGGATCACAAACTCGCGTGTTTATGGCCCAACTGCTGATCTTGACCACGCCGTGTCACTCATTAAGGTTACCATAATCACGGCGGCATCAGCCATGATGATTCTTTATGCCATGCTATTACGACTGGCAACGCCTCTCCTATAGGTTATAATATAGGACTGTGTGATATGAATATGATCTGAAGGACCATTACCCGAAACGTCGCTAATTATATAGTTATTTTCAGGCCACAATGTTACTGAAAACTGCATTAAGTTGTATTGATCATTTAAGGGCTACTCCTCATTACTTTCGATGTGTTTAAATATGTTGTTATTATGCTTATTCAAGAACCAAAATGAGAAGGATCGCGTATATCATTATGGCGAAATAATCAACATTAACATAATCGCAATAATAGCAATGCTTATGATGATCAATATCTGCCGTGATGATGATAACAATTTTCACGATGACAAAAAAATTAGATTACAGTAACAGCAATTATGACGATATTAACGACTGATGATGATGGAATTAATAATGACTGCACTATCGATAAGATTAATAACTCACGTAATTAAGTGACAATATCGATCATCTCCATAACAGCGATGTAAGGAACGATTGATGATGATGACAGTAACGACTGATTATGATGATGACCGCAGCACTGATTGATGATGAAGATGACAGTAACGATTGATGATGATGATGATGCTCATGATGGCGACTACGGCAGTAACAATCGACGACGATACTAACGATGACCGACGACCACAGTGACGACGATGAGAATGCCGACAACGAGAGCGGTGCCCCACGCGGGGTGGCCGCACGGTAGCGAGAGCGCGCTCGGCAGAGAGGTCACTCACCGGACATGAAGCTCGCCGTGAGTGACAGAGCCACGGGGGCCGCAGACATCTGGCGGCCTCCGACCAGGAAGCCCCCCGCGGTCTGCTGTGAGCGGTCGAAGACGGCGTAGTAGATGCCGATCGCGGTGGACACGAGCAGCATGGCAGCGAACACCACGTAGTCCCACGCGCCGAACGAGCCGCGAGAGTGGAAGTCTCCGCCGTCCATTCTTGCCGCTGTCTCCTGCTGGCTGCTGCTGCTGTATGCGTCTCTCTCTGTGTGTGTCTCTCGGCTTCTTGAAGCTCCCTTTAGTGTCCCTCTCAATCACGAGTCTGATGATCGCCTCTCGGTAGCGGGCGTCTATCTCTGTGTGTCTCTCGGCTTCTTGAAGCTCCCTTTAGTGTCCCTCTCAATCACGAGTCTGATGATCGCCTCTCGGTAGCGGGCGGTCCGCACGACTAGATGACACGAGCGCCGCTGATGGTTAGGACTTCCCCCCCCCCCTCCCAAGTTTTACGACGGTCAATGGGGAGGTTCGTCCGGTCTTTATTGGCCGTGTGGTTTTGTCGGTGAGTTGGTTATGGTGACTTTGCCGATGAGGTATCGATTGTGATTTCGTTGGTAATGAGGTGTTGGTCGTGGTTATATTGATAACGAGGTGCTGATTGTGGTAATTTCTCGTTCTTGGTGATGGTCAGGGTATGGTTAGGTACGGGTGAGGGCAGAGAGACTTTCTAACGAATGCGTGCGAGCCACAAAGCCTCCGAAAGCCAGCGTGCACATGTGGAGTCGAGAGCGTGAGCGTCAGCGTGCGTGTCTGCCTGTTATATCGATTAGTATCTGTATGTTATATCGATTAGTATGTTATATCGATTAGTATGTTATATCGATTAGTATCTGTATGTTATATCGATTAGTATGTTATATCGATTAGTATCTGTATGTTATATCGATTAGTATGTTATATCGATTAGTATCTGTATGTTATATCGATTAGTATGTTATATCGATTAGTATCTGTATGTTCTCTTTATTTTATATTCCGGCGTCCGCGGTTATCCACTTTTAAAATGCTGCGGCTCTCTTTGTGATGATAATGATATAGCGGTTATATCGATGTTTCATACGAATATAACATTTACATCGTTCTTATCGTAAGACACGTATCTGCAAGCGTGTCGATGATGATGATGATGGTGTTGACGTCGCCGATGTTTGTCGATGTTTTTGTCACTTTACGCACGGGCTCGTGACCGCGCCGAGATTCCCCCGGCGTGACTCCGAGGAGCGCAGCAGCCGCACAGCGAGGAAGCGATTCGCGCTCCCGCCGCTGATCAAGAGAGAGAGAGATGGAGGGGAAGGCGACTGACGACTCCCTGGCATGGACGCAGAGGATCTTGCGCAGCGAACCTGTGACTACTACGACTGCGATCGTGGTCCACGCGTTAAGTACCCGCGAGGGAGGTCGCGCGCGCCAATTACTCGAGGCCACTTCCAACAAGCGCCACTTGCCCCCGTCCCCCCTCCGCCCCTCCCCACCACGCCCGCTCCTCGGCCAGCATGGCCATCACCTTCCCGACTTTAAATCACCCCACCTCCTGCCACGCCTGCCGACCTCGCCTCATCAGCCCAGCAGTAACACCGAGCGGACTGCTAATCAGTGCCGGATGAAGCTAGTGCTAGGCCTGTAGCATATGTTATAAAGGGGCCCGAAATAAAAAAAAAAACACATTAATATTAAAACACATAGATTTTTTACTTGCATAGTAAAGTTACTGTATTTTTTCATTTGCTACACAACCATAAAAGTTGAAGGCAGTATAGTGCTATAGTAATAGAACAAGTGCAGAATCACTGAAGCTGAATTGATAGCTTGAAAGCATTTAGCGCGGGGCCCTTGAACGTGCGGGTTCCGTCGCGACATGTGTAGTAGCTACACATGTAGCTACACGTGTAGTAGTAGCTACACGTGTAGTAGCTACATGTGTAGTAGCTACATGTGTAGTAGCTACACGTGTAGTAGTAGCTACACGTGTAGTAGCTACATGTGTAGTAGTTACATGTGTAGTAGCTACATGTGTAGTAGCTACACGTGTAGTAGCTACATGTGTAGGAGTAGCTACATGTGTAGTAGCTACTACATGTGTAGTAGTAGCTACATGTGTAGTAGTAGCTACATGTGTAGTAGCTACATGTGTAGTAGCTACATGTGTAGCTACATGTGTAGTAGCTACTTGTGTAGTAGCTACTTGTGTAGTAGCTACATGTGTAGTAGCTACTTGTGTAGTAGCTACTTGTGTAGTAGCTACATGTGTAGTAGCTACATGTGTAGTAGCTACTTGTGTAGTAGCTACTTGTGTAGTAGCTACATGTGTAGTATCTACATGTGTAGTAGCTACTTGTGTAGTAGCTGCATGTGTAGTAGCTACTTGTGTAGTAGCTACTTGTGTAGTAGCTACATGTGTAGTAGCTACATGTGTAGTAGCTACATGTGTAGTAGCTACTTGTGTACTAGCTACATGTGTAGTAGCTACATGTGTAGTAGCTACATGTGTAGTAGTAGCTACATGTGTAGTAGCTACACACGTGTAGTAGCTACATGTGTAGTCGTAGCTACATGTGTAGTAGCTACATGTGTAGTAGCTACATGTGTAGTAGTAGTTACATGTGTAGTAGCTACATGTGTAGTAGTAGCTACACGTGTAGTAGCAACACGTGTAGTAGCTACACGTGTAGTAGCTACATGTGTAGTAGTAGCTACATGTGTAGTAGCTACACGTGTAGTAGCTGCATATGTAGTAGCTACATGTGTAGTAGCTACATGTGTAGTAGCTACATGTGTAGTAGCTACATGTGTAGTAGCTACTACATGTGTAGCTACTACATGTGTAGTAGCTACATGTGTAGCTACATGTGTAGTAGCTACATGTGTAGTAGCTACCACACGTGTAGTAGCTACACGTGTGGTAGCTACATGTGTAGTAGCTACATGTATAGTAGCTAGTGTTACTGGGATAATTCGGCACTGCTGCTAATCTGTGCATAGCAAAGTCCGCATCGTGAGCGTGTGTCTGTGCGTTTGTGTATTCGTGTTTCCGTGACCGTGTCAGTTATTTTGATAGACTCAGCCGCGAATGAGTATCTGGTGCGGTGTGTAAACATCGCCAATCGGGAGACAAAGGCGGCCGGCCGGGCGTGGCGTTGGCAACCACCTCCCTGGTGTGCCGCGTCGGCCTTCAAAGGTTCTACTCGCTAACAGCACCTGCCCCGACAGTCTGTTGGAGGCTATACGGAGAGTCTTTGTCTTGTGTGTGCGCCCAGCGGTGGCGCAGTGGTTCGCGCGCTGCGCTACGATCCCGGCACCCCGGGTTCATCCGCTCAAGACCAATATACATTAGCGAATAATTGAACGGGTTCTGGGCCTCCCTTAGGTTGACTCATCTTCAAATAAACATCGCCACGAGGAAGACAAAGGCGGCTGGGCGTGGTGCTATCCATCCATCCTCTCATAGCTGCTCGCAGAAAGCACTCGCCCCGATGTCAAAGGCCAAACGGGGAGGTCGGTGTCTGATCGCGCGCCTGTTTGCCCCCTTGCGGTGTTGGCTTTGTGTATTCGTATTTATTTCAGGATGGAGCATGCGACCTCTTTCATGTTTGTGTATACGCGTCGGTATATAGGCGTCTTTCAGATACATATATATCTGAGTGTGTAAATAGCGGCGCTTGCCTGTAGGTTAGGCAAAATTCGGTTAATTATATTTTTGCTCGGTTATAATCGTAATGAACCTTCCGGCATGTTGCACAATATATTGTATGACATTACGCAGGGTTAAAGTCTGTGAACGACAGATGTCAGCCCCGATCAATGCATACAGGGCACACGCAATACGATTTGAAGCTAAGCGTGATGGAATTCCTAAATTCGGGCATTCCGTTTTTGCTTAATTCAATTCCTGAGGAAGCCCACTCACAGCACGTGGACAAATACAAAGATCCCCATATAGCCTTCACAGACTTTTGCGTCAAGTCCTGTTAGGGGGTGGGTGGCCAGTACCACGCCAGGCGGGCTTTGTCTCCCTAGTGACGATATTTATACACCACACCCGGTACTCTTTTGAGGCTTTTGTAGCTAATGAGTGCGAGCTTCCCGTTGAAGAAGCTGCTCAATAATATAACTCTGTTCTGTCAGAGATCGTGGATTATTTGGCTCCCGTCCGAACTTGTTGGTTATCTTCCCATTGCCCTTCGTCATGGTCCACTGCAAGATTGAGGGCACAAAAATCTACTGTCGATTAAGCAGAACGTGCTTGGAGAAAATGGCTATCACTATTCTTCATCAAATATGGTGATGAACCATAAGCCCCAAGCACCCATTGGAGCAGGTGAGCCGTGGCGGGAAAGCACCTTATTGGCCGGGGGCTGCCCAGCTTGAGGCGGGTGGCGGTAGCTATCTATTGGAGTGCAATGACCCCTCCCACCGACGATGGCAACCCGTGGCGCCCATTTTTTACGCCAATCTAAAATGAGCTTATAACCCGTGACTGCTGCCATCCGTGTTTCTTGGCCATGATTAGGTGGCCGAGGAGTGTCCTCTCCCCATTTTTGCACCTCTTGTTAGCGCAAAGCCCGGGCAGGTTATTCTGGAAATCCTGGGTTGCCCATGCGTCAGGATCCCCCTCGGCCTTGCTGGTGATGTCCAAAGGAGTGCGTAGCACGACGTTTGGTACCAGTTTGGCTGCAAGGGCTGCTGGGAATGTGCCGCAGTGCGTCACAAAACCGCCTGAGGGGCCCCACTCCTGATTTTCTGTCGGGGTTTACTCCCTTAGCCATTGACTCTCCCGAGACACTCACAAGGCAGTGAGAAAACCGCGTAACCCTGGGAGGGGCCCTTACCAGGTACTGACAACCGGGCCAGCTGTGTCTGGGACTCGCGTAAGGCAGGGTCGTCACGCCCTGAGGTAGTTTATCACAAACTACAAACTACCCGCTACCTGTTAAATAATAGCTTCTTACCATAAATGACCCGACATTGCTGATCACATTAAAAATAGTGCTTACAATTCTTGGACCTTATTTTCCTGTATCAGTCAACTTTTGAATAAGGAACCAAATGTAATCTGCCACTCCTCTGCTGATTTCTGTACTAAAATTCAACATTATGTTCATGATTACATTTCCATTGTCCGGTCCGAGTTATTTTCTCTTCCCTCCGTTCCCTCTCTTTCGTACTTGCCTCCAGCTCAGTTCGAGGACACATTGTTGACCGAGTTTTCCGCAACTTCAACTGCAGAACTCATCTCTTTATTTGCAAGTCTCTCGACCTACCAGCTGTGAACTGGATCCCTTCCCTTCAAGGCTGTTACGGGACCATTCCGTTATACGGAGGCCGTGAATCCTCAGTCTTCTCAACAGGTAACTCTAAACCAGCACAGTTCCTGACATTTTTAAGATGGCTGCAGTTACCATCACTTACAAAAATCCGGGTCTTTATCTTGAGCTACCAGCAATGTTTTGCCTAATATCTAACCTTCCGTATTTGTCTAAAATTCTGGACAGAGCTGTGGTCACTTATTTACATAAGCACCTGGCCTCAAACGATCTATTTGATCACTTTCAATCGGAGTTCAGACCTGGTCATTACACCGAGATTGCTCTGTTAAGGGTGGTCAATTATTTATTTTTGTTAGCAGATAAAGGCTTTGTCAGCCTCCTCATTCTACTCGATATAAGGGAAGAATTTTACTCCACTGATCGCGGAGTTCTCCTTGCGCAACTGGAAGTTTCAATGGCGATCTCTGGCATAGCTTTGTTGTGGGATCACTCTTAAAGTAACGTAGTTACTTCGTCACAAAAGAAGGCTTCAAGTCACCAATAAGACCGGTTATCTGTGGTGGCCCATCACTTTTTAGCATCTACATGGCACCATTGGATATTTTGCTCCGACATCTTGGCTTATTCTACCATTGCTATGCAGATGATACTCAAATTTATATCCAGTTAAGACCAGACTATGTAATAGCTTCTTCTGCGCTATCTGCATCACTAACAGTAGTGAATTCATGGTTGTGCTAAAACTATTTGCTACTTAATGTCGACACAACGGAAGCCATATTCATCGGCTCCCCTGTGCCTTTTTATAAAATGGTTCACCTCGTTTGTTGATTGATGGTCATGACGTCAGTCCCACATTGCAGGTCAGAAACTTTGGTGGTAAGTTTGACCAATCATTGTCCTTTGAGGCACATATATATCTAAGGTGGTTAACATTTCCTTTTTCCACCTGAGAAATATTACCAGAATGCATCGCTTCCTGTCACCTGCTGACATGGAGAGACTGGTCCATGCTTTTGTGTTGTCCCGACTCGACCACTTCCACGCCTCACTGGCTGGGATACCGAGCAAAGTAGTGGGCATACTCCAGCTTGTTCAGAATGCAGCTGCTAGAGTGCACACACCACGTACAGTATTCCGTGAACACATTACACCAGTCCTCTTTTCTCTTCATCGGCTAACAGTCAATTTCTCAGTGGATTTTTAGATACTGCTAATAACCTATAAGGCTTTAAAAGGGTTCACCCCACATTACTTGCAGTAACCAATACATGTATATATTCCATCAAGGTG